GTACTGCCCTTAAATGATCGTAGTATTCCGAGACTGAGTAAAAACATTGATTGAGTAGCATTTCATTGATGACTCTTTTGAATTTGGTGATATTAAGCTCTTTAAAGTTATTTGGCAGTTATTTTTGATCTGGTCAAACGATAACGGCACGTTCTTTTGTCCGCATTTCTCGTGAAGTTTTGGTGTATGTCAGACTCTCTAGCAACTGACCATTTTTTTCTGATTTCCATTAGCGTCTGATTAATATATAATGTTGGCAACGGCATGATACGTAATTTTTTGAATAATGGTATACAGTGCTCCCGGAGACCTGTACTTGCCAGTATCCTTACAGTTTTTTTCTGTAGTTTGAAAACTCTCATCGAACCTGGAGAGTTCCCCCAAAGACCAACATCGTAGCAGATGTGTGAGTGGAATAATGCAAAATACGTCATTTTCAAAATCTCACCCCTTATGATGTTTTGCAGTAGAAGGAGGATTATCTAGTCCAATATATATCCAATATTTGAGAGAAGATCTGTATGTTGATGCCAAGATAAAGTACCTACTGTCGAGAGTAATACCAAATAATTTTACACTTTTGTTAGCTGAACTTCAGGTGATGAACTCAAGATTTTAAGTTTTGTCACTATTCAACTTCAATTTATTTGCTAGAAACCAGGTGTTGGCTTGATTTTCAACTTCTTCCATTACTTGTAGAAAGTAAGATGATGATTGATCGCTATATATTAAAGTTGTGTCATTTGCATAGAAAATGGACTTATAGGGAGACATGAAATTACATATGTCATCAACATAAATAAATAAAAAAGAACAGAGGCCCAAATACAGAACCTTGTGGAACATCATGCACAACAGGTTCAAAATTTGAAATAACATCATTACACGAAACTGCCTGATATCTATTTGAAAACTATGATTTTATAAGTGACAGAGATATCCCTCTAACTCCATAATTATACAATTTTTCAAAAAGTATACTGTGTGATACACAATCAAAAGACTTAGACAAATCAAAAAGCGTTATGGCAGTGTGCACACCCTTCTCGAATCTTTCAACAATAGATCCAACAACATCAAAGACAGCTAGAGAACTAGAACGACTTTTCCGAAACCCATATTGACCCTGAGAAAAGAAGTTGTTACTCTCGAAAACATCATAAAGACGCTTTTTCATTATTATTTCCATTATTATGATCACATACCATCGCAACTACGCCACTGGTTTCCGAAAATTGAAAACTATAGCTTCAAATTATCGCATCGATAAACCTTGATTAGTGTACCAACTTTGATTTTTTTCTCTAGGAGTTTTATAGAAAAAAAAAAAGAATTTAATTTTTTTTCGTACTTTTGACACCCTGTATCTCAGAGGAAATGCATTTTAGGACATACCTTAACAGAAACTTTCCATCTGAAAATGAGGTGAGGAATTTGTAGTCGGAGTTTGTCTTATTCTGGCTCACCCTGTGTATAGAACAGAATGTGAGGAATGCTCTGCAGTATATACAGGCCAAACCGGTAGACATTTTGGCGTAAGGCTTCTTGAACACATCTGTTTCGACAAAAAATCTATAATGTATAAACTTCTGAATTTCACTAGTTCAGACTTCCATTGTCTACTATGTAAAATGATTTGAAATCCTTGAAACAACTAAAAAAGAAGAATCAAATATGAATAGCTGAAAATAACAATTA